CTAGTTTTGATCCCATTCTATTTTCGTGTTTCCGGAATTATGCTTTAAATGAAGAAAAAAACAGATATACCCGCGTCTTCTTCCTCAGGCCGCCTTTATTTTGTCCTCTTTTGTGTTGTTTCCTTTTTTTTCACTTTTTGCCTTTTCCCGTTTTCATAGACCTAGAGCTCTCGATTAGTATAAATAGGTAGGTGCCTCAAGGTCTATATTGTAAAGGAACATCGGATTTTTATTCTTCTTGTTTGATTTTTGAATGATGAATTCGTTTAAGGGAAAAGAAACTTCAGGTACGTAGATTGATTCCAATTCACGATTTCCAGTTTGTGCTAAGATTCTGATTAGGGTATGTGATTTATATTGGGGCAATTAGAGACTAGTTTTTTTTTTTGGATTCTGAAAGAGCAGGGGACAGAGATCGATCAATGGAATCGTCTGGGATATTTTGTTTTGTAGATTTCGTTATGGCTTTTAATTCTTTCGTTCTTGTTTGCAGTTTGCACACAGAAGAACATCGTGATTCCGAAACAGCCTAAAGGAAAAGGAAGTTCCGGTAAGTAGATCGATTCCAATTCACGAATTTGAGTTTGTTCTAAGATTCTGATTAGGGATATGTGATGTATATATATGTCTACCAATGTGATTGGAGTCTAGTTTCTGGTTTTTCTTTGCTGTTTCGGATCGATCAATGATGACAGGATTCTGACTCGTTTGTGGTTCTTTCCTTCTTGTTTGCAGTTTGCACAGAGAAGAAGAAGATTGTGATTCCGAACAACCAGAACGAGAAGCTGGTGGGTCTGCTTCACGATACTGGTTCGAAAGAAATTGTGGTCTTGTGCCATGGATTTAACTCGAACAAGGACAACCAAATCCTGAAGATGGTCTCTACTGCTTTAGAGAAAGAAGCCATCAGCTCATTCCGTTTTGATTTCTCTGGGTATGGAGAGAGTGAAGGGAGTTTCAATTACGGTAACTACAAGTACGAAGCGGAGGATTTACATTCCGTTATCCAACATTTTTCTAACACCAACCGCGTAGTTACCACCATTCTCGGCCACAGTAGAGGAGGCGATGTCGTTATTCTCTATGCCTCCAAGTATCCCGTTCGCAATGTGATCAATATCTCGGGACGTTTTGATCTTAAAAAAGGCATACGTCTTGGAGAAGGTTACCTTGAGAAAATCAAGGAACAAGGGTTCATCGATGCTACAGAAGGAAAATCCGAGTTCCGTGTTACCGAGGAGAGTTTAATGGAGAGGTTAAACACGGATATGCAGCAAGCTTGCCTCAAGATTGGCAAAGAATGTAAAGTCTTGACGATTCATGGATCAGGTGACGTGGTAGTACCGGTGGAAGATGCCAAGGAGTTTGCAAAGGTGGTGCCAAACCACAAGCTGGAGATTGTGGAAGGAGCTAATCATGGTTATAGCAAGCATCAGCGTCCACTGCTTTCAATAGTTATGGAGTTTATAAAGTCAAGCATTGCCAAGAACTAGCCTTCTCTGTCTTCTTTCTTTATTTGAGAACTTCATTTAAATATACTACATATTTGTCTTTGGTCCCAACATTTTTCTGTTTTATATAAGTTTCTCTCTGCCATACTTTTCACAATCAGAAACTTAGCCGATGAATGAAAACTTAAGCCGTTGAATGTGTTCTTGGACAAGAATTTGACACCAAAGCTGTCTGATTTCACATTCTCTCTATCTCTCCCTGAAGGTTAGTCATGGATTAAAGATAAAGTGATGGGCACACTTGGATGCATTGATCCTTCTTCATGATTATGTGAAAGGTTTAATGGCTTCGGTTTTTATTGTAGCCATTATTCGTGAACACTAAAACTACTTTCTTAAAAGTGACAACTACTAAGTTAACATTACGAATATTACAACACATGAGGGACACATAACTTAAAATAAAAAATATCGAAAGAAAGCACATATGATTAATCTTCCTTTCCGTGAGTATAATTTTTGACAATAATGTCTTAATTTCATCAATGGAGTCGTCATTCTCATCCTCTTTTTG